TTTTTAAAAGAGCAAAAAGCAACTAGATATGATTTTCTTTTTCATAGAGTATCAAAAAATGACTGAAATAATCAACCCATTAATATAATTTGATCATTTAAACAACTTAAATAGTGAAGCTCAAAATGTTCCTGATTCTGCTGGAACTTAACTGAATGGAATTGACCAATAGATACACAACACATTTGGGGTTAAATTGCTTTGGGAATTAAGAAACCACTATTGGTTGGTGTTAATTTTATAAAATAGCCCAATTCACAATATTAAAAATGCACATGAAGAAATTTCCACTTGCTACCTCACACAAGTCAGTGTTATGAAAATAACTTTGTTAAATCACATTATATTATATATCATGATAGTTAAAATATATTTGATACTTACTTATATAATTCTGTTAATGGTGAAGTCAAAATGACTAATGTTGTAAATAGATTATTACAATGGGTATGAATTTTTAAAATTTTATCATCTATATATTCATGAGGTTTCAGAAGTTTCTGTACAGATGTACAAACTGACCATAACATGTTCTCAGTGCATATTAAAATTGTTGTGACATCAAGTCTAATGGAAAGAAAAATAAGAAAATCATGTTAAACAAAATAATCCCTTTGCTTGATATGTTGACTTTCATCCATATCCCTTGTACTATGCATATGTAAGAATAGAAAGATTTGGTTAGATACCAGAGCTTCAGAGATCAAAAACAGATAGGAAGCATAAAAGATACCTTTTGAGTTTCCAGGTGTTAGATGTCTCACAATACCATTATCCGTAGGGATGGTGAGCTCTAAAATAATGTTCTAAGAAGTGCTTTTTTAGAAAAAAAAAAAATGTTTACTTTGCATTATCAGGATTCTGTTCAAGAAATTCAAGAGACTGCCCTTGAAATTAAATTGGTCTAAAAGAAGCTAGATGAAAAGAAAAATTTGCTATTATCCACACAAATATGATAGGTAGAAATTTGGTAACAAACAGTTCTCTCACCCACGTGTATGCTGTCAAAAAAAATTTACAAAGTTGGTAACATGTTCTCCCAGTAAGTGGAAGATGAGAAGAAATGACAACAGAAGCTCAAATGCAGAAGCCTATAGTTTCAGAAATTTCTAATATTAAATAAAGTTGTGAAAAATATTCTATATTATTTATCTTATTCATAGACTTATTTCTTTGTTTCCATCTTTCTTGAGTTTCAGTAGGGACTCAAAGATCTGTTTCAAGATTATTTTGGTATATGACTAAATTGAACACACCTCAGTTAATTTCCCATTTTTTTTCCTTTAAACTCAGAGTTGAAGAAATAGAAGATGGAAATTTTGAAGCAATAAGAAGAAAAATAAGTTTGAGCATCTTTTAAAATGACATTTTGGCCTCAAATGTATTATGTATATAATAAATTTATATATGTTAATAATACATAACACACATATAAGTTGTATATATGGTTTGGTTATATAATACTTAGAGGCAACTGGAATACTAAAAGCATCAGTAATAGCCTTTAGGAAGATTTTATTGTACTTTGCATAGACTTTCTCTAATTGCTAAATACACGATTACTAGTCCAGGATATACACACACACACACACACACACACATATACATAATCTGATTTCTAAAATAATGATGGTTTAGGAATGACCATTCAAATAAAAATATTTATATATTTTACTTACAAAAACTAGAAGCAATAATTGTAGCATTGTATGGCATTTTTATGCAACCACCCAGAAAATAAAACCCAAAAGTCTCTATAGTACAGTTAATTAATTAAATATACTACCTATTTCATGAGCTAACAGTAAATCTGATCTCACAAATATCTCATAATGACTTGCCATCTCACAGTCAAAAGTGATTTATACTACATAAGGAAAAGAATGAAGGTATTCTTTGCTCTCAAAAGGAATTTTCCATCTATTCTTCAGAGCTCAATCTTTTTTTTTTTTTTTAAAAAAAAAGCTTGGTCAGTAATTCAAAACAGCCTGTGTAAAATACCATATTTATGAAACACTGTAGCAGGACCTAAGCGCCCTTAAAATTGCAGCATGCTTTACAAGAACATAATCAGGAAATGATTCCTCCTGCAAAAAAAAAAAAAAAAAAAAAAAATCCTCCGATGTCTATAGTTCCTCCTCAAAAATATCTGAAAAAAAATTTTGTATACCTAAAAGACAGATCTTAATCACATTAGCTAGAATATTTATTTAACAAAAAGCCTCCTCTTCATATAGATCATTGTTGTCATGTAAGCACATTTGTATAATATTCATTGCCTAGATAACTCACAGAATTGCACTATAATTCAGTCTTTTATTTAATGCTCAGTAACTTTGCTCCTCATCTTCTGTGATTTCACATTTTGTTGAACTGACTTTTAGTAATGCACAGTGAAAAGAAAAGAAAAAATAGAAGAAAAAAGGAAAGAATTAATTAGAATATATTAAGGAGAAAAATGATTGGACAAAACAGTTTCCTTAATGAAGATAAACTTCTATATATAGGCTTTAAAAAAAACAACTAAAATCCCCTGGTTGCATAGACAAATTGTTCCATCATAGCACAGCTGCTTTTTTCTCCATTTCAGGGCCTTAATTTTCTCTCTTTATCTCATTAAACTTTGTATATATATGTCCTAGATTACAAGACATCTTGAATCATTTTTTAGAAACAAGTAGGTTCTACATACAATTTTAAGAAGAAAAAAGAACAAATTTATTTTGATTCAGGTTCCACATTTCCGCTGAAGTACCTCAGGAGAATTGAATATGATTTCCTTTCAGATGTTAGAAACATGTTAAATATACAAGGAGTAATGTCATGAGATTCAGAATAACATTCTGCTTTATAACAACTAAGGAAAAAGTTTTCTTGAGGAACAATATTTTTCAGAACTTCAATTACCTTATCTGTGGAGTTCTCTTGTAACTGGGATGGGCCCGAGCATATCTGGAGGCCAGTAGACCCAAAGATTTCTCCAGCACTTCTGCTAGAATCTCCTGGGCTAACTTAGAAGACAGAATGGTCCAGAGATCGTGGTGAAGAGCCGAGCAGAAATAATGCCACATCTGGATTGAGAAGGAGCATCTTTCCCCCTGGCAAAACCACCACGCATTAAACAATAGAATCACATCTTCCAAAATGTCGATTTTCTTCCTATAAACCTAATTAGTTTAGGCTGAAAGGAAAGTTTGACACACTCGATGACCAAGAAAGATTTTTGACAAGATGTAAAACATCCTTATTGACAAAGGGACATATGTTTTATTTCAATTACAAGAGTCGATATTCTAAAGCAAAGCCAGACACAATAATTTAACCTAGTATATTCTTGATTTACCTACTCTTAGCCTAGGGTTTAATATTTACTTTTAAACAATCAGCTTTGTAGTTGCTGAACAAGTCATACTAACTAGTTTAAGATAGTGGACTGATTCTTCTAAAATTAAAATCTGTTTTAAATTGTTTTAGTAGATATATTTTTCTATTAGCATCATTGAGGTAATTTTATAAGTGCTTCAGATTTCACACTATAATGAAATGACAGGAGCAAAAATAAACTTGCATACTATATTCTTATGAACATTCTTGAAACCGAGGGAGATTGGTAACTATTGAAGATTATTACATTAGGCTATTTTGCCTATAGCGAAATTTGTTTAATAACAATACTAGCAACAGATACTACAATAGTCTAATTTTACAAGATTTTGTAATGGAAAATGAACATATCATCATTTCTTAGTATTTTTATGGTACTTCATACTTCCAAGGGGCCATATTCTCATTCTTTTCCACCCCTCTACAGATAACTCCTGTGTGCCAAGTTTTCCCTGACTGCAGAGAGAGACCTAACAATGGTCAAGGCCAAGGGGAACAGGCAGAAAGGAGAAGGTAGCCTCAAGTGATTTATAAGCACTTGAGGTAACATGCAATCCCAGAGGTATGCTAGTAGTGTGACCTCATTTTCTTCAAACTAGATCAAAAGATTATTTGAAATAGGAAGAAGAGAATGCACTCTTCAAGCATTATCTTGATTATGCTAATATATCAAAAGTTAAACTAGTAAAATTTCCTATCATATCTCTAAGTAATTCTCTTTGACTTAAAATTTCTGCTTTGCTCACTATTTATATTTCTCAAACAAATGTCAGCTAAAAAAATCTGCTGTTCTTTTGTACCAAAAGTTGATAGTTTCTTATGCAGATACTTCTTTTAGAATTTTCTTTACACATTACTCTTCTGATAGTTTCTTTGATTACTAAAACCTTTTGCAGTTGCTGTAACAATAATAATTTATAGTTATTATATTGACTTTCATGTGGAATTTATAAATGAGTAGAATTGGTATTCCTTGGGTAGGAAACTTCATTATCAAAATGTCAGAGTCAAGTTCAAACTGGAGGGGACTATGGCTACTGGCTTCTGACTTCCTAATTAGCTGAGCATCTAAACTGTTTAAGAAAAAGAAATTATAAAATTGGTGCTGAAGTAGCAAAATTATAGTTTCTTATTGTTTCTTTGTTGTGTGTTCTATGATGAATACTTATTAAACTGAGAAAGGAGTTTTAAAGCTTCATTCTCTCATACTTTTTATGTTATGTAAATTAAAGCAAAACTGACCCAGGCTGATGTAGTGAATAGTTTGAATGATTTACACAAACTTTCCCCATGGCAATGGATGGGTGTTAATTATAAATGTGATTAACATGATTTCTCATATTTTTCAAAATGTGAAAAACCAATTTCCTTAATAGCTACCTTATATCAATAAAAGAAAATTTAGGCATACAGATTTCTTCTCTTAAAAGTAAAAAACCTCATATTTAAGACTTTTTAAAATATAAACTTCATGTTTACTTGAAAATATTCCAAACTGGTCTTTGTTCTAAAAATTCTTTTAAAAATTCATACAACTTCAATGTATGCAAGGGTTTTCATTAAACTAAATGTGATTCATTTATTTTTCTGACCTGGTTCCCTATTTGTTGTCATTTCAAAAGTATTCTGCTAGTAAACATCTGTTATTTTTGCAGACCCACTATAATGTAAACAGATGTGAGCTTTTATTTAGATTATATATCAGGAAACAAGCAGCTGGGCTTTATTATAGAAGCCACTCAATATTATCTTTGAACAGACAATTCTTTATTCTTTGACTATTGGAAAACACAAGTTTCTAAAATTGAGCAGATGTCAACTATACTAAAAGCTTAATTTTAAACATGTAATCTGAACACCCACTGTGCCATCTGACCAGCACCTCATCAGAGAGATACAGAACTCTTTGACTCTCAACCTGACAGTTTAGAAAATGGAAATAATGTATCTAGGGCTCACTTGCTATCACAAAACATGAGCAAATATCGCTCCATATCTTGTAAATTCTTTTACTATTTCTTTACTATGCTCTAAGCATGGGGATAGATTACCTGGAGGTCTCTAGCCTACCCTTCGCCTCTAGTGAGGCAGATATCATCTGCTTTCCTCTCAAAACAGGCCTGATAAACATACAAGTTCTGTTTCACAAATCAGTTGGAATAATGTGGAGAGGAGAAGAAAGGGGTGCAGGCAGTGAGATAAAACCATGCCAGGTACTTCAGTTGTCAAAATAGTTTTAAATATGTGCTATTTTTAGAAGGTTCTTATTTTTGGTAAATAGAAAAGCAGCATCACTTTATTTTTCTGAGCATAAATAACCACCAGTAACTCTGCAATTAAATTGTAACTACTGACCATGTAAGTATATGGAAGCTACAGTACCATGTAATCACAGGGTAACTATCTCCTTATTTCTGTCTTTGAAGCTAAAGCCTTGTCATAAGATCTAAGAGCTGCATGTTACATGGTAATTTGGTGTTTCTTTAAAAAATACTTGGTAACTTCAATAACAGGTTCTCAATGCATCCACTTATTATTTATACTATACAACTATTCTAGCTCCCAATTTGCATAAGAGGAAACATAATACCCCTGTGTTGAACATATAGTGAGATGATACCTGTTCTTCACTGAAAACATCATATAAAATTGCTCATTAGTACGCTGACATATTGAAATAGTTTGAAACATGAGATGGATTCATTTTCAACCTCTCTGTTTACCTCAGGCAAATAAGGAAGCTGAGATGCTGCCAGGAGAGAGGAAGACCAATACTTTCATTCTTATCTCAGGCTACCAGCTGCACCGTACCACTTTCTTTTTCTCATTCTGCTCACTGCTACCACTACTGTTTGAAGTATGGCAGGTTTGGAAAACCCTATATGAATGCTCTTGCAAAAAGAAAAACTGTCTGGGAAGGGCCTCTAAAGGAGAGATGAAATGGCCTTAGAAAAAGTGGAAAGTCCTTTACGAGAGCTTCTTATTAGCTGTTCCTCTGTATTGTGGCAACATTTATTATAATATCTCAGGCATAAATGGACCACAGGAACCTTGAGTGCCAGGATAGTGACAGGGGTGACTCTATTGAATAGAACTCCACTCTGCTTTTCTCAATACTCTATAGTGATCAGGACAATTGAGAAATGAAAGTCACACAATCTATTCCAGAGGAAAGGGTGAAATTAAAAAGCTAACGAAGCTGGGCTTGGCTGTGGAATTTTTTAAAAACCCTGATTACTTTTTATTAAGATATTATAAATGTTTTACCCTGCCCTGGAATCAACTTCAAGGAATTTCAAATACTGTGGTCTGTGTATAATCAATGAGATTCAGGGGAAGGGAAACTAATGAAAGCTGATGATGGATAATTTTAATTGATACTGGGTTTGCTTGCATTAGGCTTTAATTTGCTAGAAATTTGGGATTTCAAAACGTGGGCTAAATGAAAATAGGTAAGCTATAAATGATCAGATGGGTCTTAAAGTGTACTCATAAGAACATGCAATGAGAAGGGAAAAAATAAGTATGAAGAATAAAGCTGCTTAATAAAAAGTATTTATCAAACACAGATGGAAATATATAACAAGAAAAAAATTAAAGGATACCCATAACTTGGTACCTTTGGGAAAAAATACAAGGTTGCAGCATCTTGGCATTTCTATGTCTTTGAGTTTTCATCGTATCCCATTATATTCCGATTTATTTAGCACTACAACATTGCAGCTCAAATTAAGTTATTTTTACTTTTAAGCAGAAGGAGAGCTCTGATGTCTAATTTATTTCAGGTTTTTAAAAAGAGTGTTTTTCCTAAGTATGAATTCAATATTTAAAAAATATTATCTTAACAGCCTTCGTGTGTTAGTAATGCCAAGCTCATGTTTCTAATTAGCCAGAAAGCAGGTAGGCAGTAAAACATATTTGTGTAAAAAGGAGGGATAGTAAACTTAACTTCACACCTCATAAAAAGCTTTGTAGTCATCCCAGTGGTGGCTCTCAGCATCCTGTAAAATGCTTGTAGCACAAACTCTGACGCAGTAGTTTGTAACCTGAAACTGTAGAGTGTTGATGAATTCCTGATATCGTTGGACAGGCACCAGGAATATGGGTCTGTTCAGAGAGAATGATCAAAGAGACAGAGATTTAAGGCCTGTGCAGTAGGAGGTAACAATCTCCAGTACTACAAATGGTTTTGATTATTAGATATCAATCATTCATTTCCTCTTAATGCTGAAGTCTGCCTTCACATTCACTTTCCAAAAAGGAAAAAAAAAAAAAAAGCTGGTCTTTGTTTCGCAAGTCCTTTGAAAATGTACATCTGCTGTTTTACAAATATGCACTTCAACTCGAGACAAACTGCATTGTCAATACATCATTCAAAAATAAAAGCATTCTTTGAAGCCTATTATTAGAGATCAGTGCATTATTTAGGCATTAGGTTATCGTTATTATTAGAGAACAACATGCACTTGTCAGAACCAACTTTTATAAAGATATCACATGTCCCACAAACGCACTCTTTTTATTTTTAAAATATTGTAATTTTGTAGATGTCAATTATCTCATAAACTGTTTAAGTATATTCTGTAGAAACAAAATGATTTCTGACACATTTAGTTTATAAATTCAAGTATGAATCACATCGTCTGACTACTTGTGAGAATTAAAGAAATATCATAGTTATATTCTACCTCAGCCAAATTTGTCTTATCTTTACCTATTTATATAACACTGCTTTCTTTCATAACCAAGGCATTGCTAAGGCTGAATAAAGAATATAGACTAGATTCTTAGGGTCACACGGGACTGCTAAGTTCATGTTTTCCCTTTGCAAGGAGCCAAGTTATGTCTAGAGAGTACAAGGGCAACCAGAAAGACCACATGGTAATTAATACCTGTGGTCATTTGTATCTCTATACAGAAAACATATTTTCTTTTTAGGCTACAAATACATGACAATTAAGACTGATGTTTCCTCTTCTAATATTATATTATGGACAATTTATTACTAAATGGATGTCCTGAAATATGTTTACATTGGTCATTAGAATACATTAAATGTAATTATTCTTTATGTCAGCTCCTAATAGCCTGTTGGCTTATAAACAAAAGAGAAAAGTGAATATTTCGCAACTGTGTATAGGTGAGACAAAAACAAGTTTATTCTTCCTTTTCGATGTGGTCAGTATAATGTGCCTTACAAAATGGAAGAGTACATTTAGTCATGTCATAACAACAGGGAGAAAATAGTTGCCTCGAATTAGGGTCTAGAAAATGCAAGGGTCTTTTGAGTATGTCTTTAGAGACAGTACCTTTGCTATTACCTATGTTCACATCTAGTTTAATAAATCCCATGCTCCACCTTTTTGACATTTCCTAGTCGAGACAAATGAAAACAATTCACCATGTAAATTAAGATTTTCTCTTTCTCAAACCTTATCAAAATCTAACTCCTGTGATATCCAAAGATTACACGTTTCTTTAAGCACAGCCATCATCTTAATTTAAACGACACTCACTTTTTAGTAGTTTCTTTCATCAAATTCTCATACTGCGTGAAATGCTGGAAAACATACACTGCTGTGGAGAGGAGTGTGTGCAAGTTTTTCAGGGGTGCTCTGGAAGGAACCTCCTTGCCTCTCTCTTGCAGTCTCTCCAGGACAGCTGTTGCCACTTTACAAAAGGCTTCCACCAAGTTTGCTCTAATTTCCTGAAAGGAATCATCTCTGCATGCCAGAGCCAGTGGAAGCATTGTGTCGAGTTTTTCCATGATGTCAGAACAAAACTAGGGAGAAATAAATGTGGCACTGAGTTATTTGTACTCTGACAGTGCCAAGTAATTTATGTACAGTGGAGCCAAATTCCTAAATAATGAATTTGGCATCAGACATAAATATAATGACGCAACTTTATAATAATCGATTTCTCAGTTGTAGAAAGTTATATGTTTTATGTTGAATAAGGAAATACCAAAATGATGCTTCTCTATATATAACCTTCAAACCTTATGCTTACCAGACAGGCATTATGAAAAACTCATGAACCAGCTTTACATGACAATATCTTTATTTATAGTTAATAGAACTCAGAAAATATGTATCCTTAATATAACGGTTGCATTATTTTTTAATTTATTCTGATTTTCTTTGCTAAATTTTCTATAAAAGGTTTTTTAGAATTAAACACCACATATGAATGCCAGTTTAATTTAAATAATCTAGAAGCATCAGAAACAATCTCACGTAGCATCTTCGTATTGGTAAGGTGACAGCAACTTTCAGAAATAATGTGTCTAGTTTTTCGCTATTTATTATGTATCTACTCTTTTGTGATGGCAGAGGGAAGTATGGTAGATGTGAAGATGAAGGCTGCCTCCACATCAGACCAGCCAACAGAGTTCCCTAGGGAATGTTCTGGAGCCTGAGGGTGACAGTAGCAGAATAAGGAGGTCATCTCCAAGGATTCTCTTTTTAAAACATCCCAACCATAGGTTGCTGAGCTCATATGCCAAGTAACTGTATTTACTTCCTATTTTCTCAATATGTTCTGTGACTTTCAAAACACATATAAAGATTTAAGGCTGATGCTTAATGAAATGGGATGTTCATTAAGGTGTAAACAAAGATTTTCAAATTGCTCAAACCAAAAATAGATACCCCCTGTAACCTCCTAAATTTCTCCTAGAGTCATTTAAAGGTAAAACCAACACAGTTTTCCCAGTGTTTCCCAGCTCCCCATGAAGTCACAGAGGTCCCTTTTGGTCGCTTCAGATTTATGGAGCAACAAGCTATTATAGCAACAGGTGTAAGTGCTTTTTTGTAGCAATAGCCCAAGGATATCAGAGAAGAAAACTGGTTCTGGGTCAAGTATCAAGTATTTTCCAAGTGACTCCACTATTTTATCTGTGCGTTCCTTTTGCAATGCCTTATGTTTTTTACAAATCCCATCATACCAGTCAGCACTTTGAAAGGATTTCATTTGATACTTGCCTTTGCAATTTTCTTTGGTTGTTCCTCCTCAGGAAACACATGGCTGTCTTGCCAAACTTGCTGGACATTTACAAGGTTCATAGCATAGCTCACAGCTGAAGACCTTTCATTCTGTTCCTGTTGGAGAATTTTTGTGGAAAAATCTTCAATTGCAATTGTTATGCTACATGCCATGGGAAGAAATACTTCTTTAAATGCACTTCTCCAGCCAAAATCTAGTAAAGTAGCCTGAAATATAAATTTATATAAAGTCATATTAATCTTAACTCAGCAACAAATGTTCCTATTGTTATAGATATAAAATTATTACTTTCATTCAACATTGAATGTAGATATTCTTTGATATACTATAAAAGCCATTCTTACAACCTGAAAAATATTACCTAGTGAATAAAGCAATATACAGAAACATGCGCATTCTTTACACACAGTAATATGCTGACATTTCATTTTAATTCATCAGTGGATTTAATAAAAAACTTTTTTCAAAATTTAATCTCTTAAATATAGTTCAATAAAGCCATCTTTACGAGAGCAGAAAGCTATACTTACTATTTATCGTATAAAGCAACCTTTAAATTCAATATATTTAATAAAGTCTAAATTAGATTTTTATAGTCTTTTTTATAGTTTATTGTTAACAAGTATTGCAACATAAGACAGCATTTAATATTCAATCTTTTATTTCTTTTTCACTCTCAGAAATCCAGACAAGCCAAAAAATAGCTATAAGAAATAAATTTCTCAGAAAACACAGCACTGTACCTTTCTAGATTTTTACCTGCTTAGGATTTTATTTAGTTTCTCCACTACAAAGTGGTAAGAAGTACTACATTTGTTCCAAGAATGAAGAATTTAAAAGATCTGCATTGTTTTGTGTGTAGAGGGGAGTAGAATGAGTTGGGGTAGAGTCTGACGTTGTCTTGTTTTCTTTATTCTTTCGGTCTATGGCTCATATGGCAATATTGTTATGAATGTCCATTTCCCCCAAGGCCCCTAACTTTCTCTAAAGTACTAAATACATCATGGGTAGTAGGCTGACCCTATGCTTAGAATTAGACTTTCCCTGTTTTAATGTAAACTTGTTTATAATAACATGCTACCTATTCCAACTTCAGAAAACCTTGGGCTCTACATCCCTGACTGAACTACTTATTTTTCTTGATCTCGGTTTTTTTGTTAGAAAAATAATGGAGCTGAATTGGATGATTTCTATGGTCCCTTGCCGTCTAAAATGACTGAGATTATGGATCCTAAGCCTAATTTGCTTGGATTTACACCCCATTCAGCATTAATTTACTGCTTTTTATATATACTCGTACAAAGTAATACAGGTGATTCATTTTCTAGAGCTAAAATTCTATGATTCCAAGACTCTATAATCAGAAAAAGTGGCTCCTGTTCTCATCATACTCTTAATTAAGTTGTAACTGAACTTTCATTTTCAAAGTTTATTTGGACCTTTAGCATCATAGGGCCTGAAACACATCTCTCTTATCATGTATTTGCATAAAATTTATCAATAATTGAATCTACTCAGCTCATATAATCTTCTTTCTTATAAGTGCAGCTTTGGAAGTGGTGTAGTTACACCCCTGTGCTGTAATAGTAATTCCTTGGGACATACTGATGATAGAAATGGAAAAGGGAACCTATCTCCACGAAAGTTAAAACAAAAACAAAATCCTGATTTTTGTCCTCCCCATCAAGGCATGTCTATCCATTAAAATCATTCATTTATTCATTCATCAAGAAAATATGTTCTGGTAAAAATTGCCATTAATTGCCATGGCTGCAGTGAAAAAAAAAATAGTGCGTGTGGTGACATTTACATTTTCCCATGATAATTTATATATGATTATAATACATTGGCCTATCTGAAGTCTCTTTTCAAAATATTGAAAAACAAGCACATTAATAGTTCCTCTTTAAAAAGAAAACTGGGCCAGGTATGGTGACTCATGCTTATAATCCCAGCACTTTGGGAGGCCAAGGCAGGAGGATTGCTTGAGGCCAGGAGTCTGAGACCAGCCTGAGCAACATAGCAAGACCCCAACTCTACAAAAAAATTTAAAAATTAGCTGGGTGTGGTGGGACATGCATGTAGTCCTAGCTCCTTGGGAGGCTGAGGCAGGAGGATCCTTTGAGCCCAAGAGTTTGAGGTTGCAGTGAGCAATGATCAGGCCACTGCACTCCAACCTAGGTGAGAGAACAAGACCCTGACAGAAAAAAAGAAAGAAAGAAAGAAAGAAAGAAAGAAAAGAAAACTGAAAACCTTTACTTACTCAAACTTCCTTCTAAAAGTCTATTATTCTTATGATATATAGTTTGCTTACTTCCCAGCTGATATTTGTCATCAGACATATTCCAGTTAGAATAGAGAACATTTACTAGATGATCCAAGAAAAAAGAGATATACGATTTTCTGTTCTGTACACAAAGTAATCATCTAATTTCTTGGTACTGATTTTGACTTTTGGTTAAAGCATAATGTATAACTTTGAATTTCCTGATTATTTCTCTTGCTTTCTAGGCTAAAACGATATGTTATCTTATTTTTTAAATATTTACCTAGTATATAAGTAAGGATCCACTTAGAAAACAGAAATCATTCAAGATATATCAAAAGGAAGAACTTTAATGTAGTGTGTTGGTTACCCAGGTGATAGAAGATTTGAGGAGTCAAATATGGATAGGCTGTGAAGCAAGACAGATATTAACAGAATAGGAAGCCACAACCAACCCTTGGGCTAGAGGAACAAATGAAGGGGGCTGAGTGTGGGAGACCAGCTCCCACCAGTTGCAGATAAAGGCAGACCTGCCAGGTGGAACTGGAATCACGCAGGGAGGGCTGTATGGTGGCAGTGGGGCTCATGGGGGAAACAGAGAAGTCACAACTTGCTCCCTAAAACAGAGAGAGGGGAAGAAATACCCTGGCTTCTCTATAACTCCTACACTCCAGTCATCCATCAATGCATTCAATTGGCCAAACCTTCCCAGAACCCTGAAAGCAAGGGAGCCTAGAAGATGTAATTCTCTACAATATAGAGCAGAGCAGAAGCACGGTAACGGATTTTGAGAACAAACAAGCACAGGTTGGGCACACAAAAATATGAGGCCAGTTCAAACTGTTCTTTCCTTTCCCTTTTTAATCTCCATTTCCTCACCTTTCAACAATCATCTCCAGCCTGCATTCTCCAAGTGCAGACCCTGAGTCCGGATGAGAACAAAGATCTCTTGACTTCCACCTCCCTACTCCTCCCATGGAACAGATTGTACAACAGAACAGTGTCCCCACTAAATTAAATTTTCTCAAAAACTTATAAGCCAATTTTCAATCTGAAATTATTTTTTTAGTGGCAAAGGACAAAACTCAAGGCATTCTGATTCATAATGGACTCACAGACATATGGTGATTATATTATATATGAATTTTTAAAAACCACCCTTTTTTCCTCACTTACCTCTTTTACTGGTAGCAATTGCTCTGAATAAATACTGGTTTCATTTGTTCTAGGTTTCTCTATTACTCCTCTATTGGATTTCTCCAAAATTCCTAAGAAATAGAAAAGAAACACACAGACATACATTTATAAGAAAAACATACTGGATGTGATTAATAGATTCTGGTTAAAATTAATTATGTAGAGAAGCTCTATCCACAGTGTATATATACACATACACACTTACACATACACAGTCAGCAAAATGTAGGGCTATGTCACCATTATAATAATGGCAGAATTAAGATATCTAGAGTCCTTTTCCATATACAGCTGGATGAAATCTGTGTGCTAGATATATTCATATTTAATGTACGTGAATATATAATCTGTAAAATAAAACCCATTTGTCATTAATCCATTCTCATGATGATAATGTAGAGTAAGTTAAGAGTACAGAGTAAATATTAATTTCCTTGTTCATTTAAAAAACAATTTTAACGTAACACATTTAAAAACTGGTGGTGTTTCCTAGGACATTAACACTTTCCTTCTTGAAACAAAGAACAAAAATAGATAGATAAACATCACTTTGGGAGGGCAAGGCAGGAGGATTGTTTGAGCCCAGTAGTTGGACACCAGCCTGAGCAATATAGTGAGACCTGTTTCTATTTAGAAAATTGTAAAAATTAAAAATTAGCTGGTATGGTGGCATGCACCTGTAGTGCCAGCGACTTAGGAGGCTGAGTCAGGAGGATTTCTTGAGCCCAGGAGTTTGAGGTTGCAGTGAGCTAGGATGATGTCACTGCACTCTAGCCCGGACAACAGAGTGAGAGCCTGTCTCAAAAACATAAAAAAAGAAAAAGAAAAATTATACTCTTAAGCATATTTGTGATTCATTTGAAAAACACAAACACTGGGGCAGATATAAAATCATCCCTAGCTCCTAAAATAAAAATATTTCCTTCATTTTTATTTTTCACAATTAACAGAACTCTTTTTGATGGGAAAAAATAGATCTACAAAAACGTATTAAATAAACACTCCAAAAGAAATCTTTCCATTTTTCCATTAAGATTATATTAATGATAGTTTGATTCAATATGAATAATTTAGCATTTACCTTTTTTTGCCCTCAGACTTAGTATAAGATGATGAATTATATAGACAGTCGAATTTTTCTTTTTTTTCTAATTTACTAAGAATGGTAAGAATTAGTTACTCCTTATGTAAGAATTAGTTACTCCTTATGCCCTGGGCAAAGCAAATTTCAAAACCAACATTCTTGTACATAAAGTACACTAAAAGCAAATATTCCATTTGGTAGGCAATAGCACCACCCTTTTGGGAAATTTTTATCAGAGTCTATTCTGAGGAAAAGTTTTCTTCAGTTCTAGTGTTTTGTAATTATTTTTGGATTTGTGAACACTTCCAATAACTTGATTAAAGTGATAAACACTACACACAGAAGCGCACAATACAACCGTATGGCAGCCATGTGTGCATAACTCACACACACACACACACACACACACACACACACATACACACACACACACACACACACACACAATTGGGGATTCCCAGGCCCTCTTGTAAAGCTCATTCACGAACTCCATGGACCCATGACTGCAGTTTAAGAATTCTGTTCCATTTATCAAGACACATCACCACATAGAAAAGGTTTTAGACTCAAGTGTTATACCATTTAACTTAAAATGCTTTTACTACGGTTTGCATTTTATGATGTCTTTCTAAGAAGATGGTGTTCTAAATAAGGATCAGTTCTAATTGAAATAAAATATGGATTAATCATAGATTTTTAAATAAAGAAAATTGAAACTACAAATCTATAAAAAGCCAGGCAGGGTGGCTCACACCTGTAATCCTAGCACTTTGGGAGGCTGAGGTGGGAGGACAGCTTGAGGCTGGGAGCTAGAGACCAGCGTGAGCAAGAGTGTGACCCCGTCTCTACAAAAAATAGAAAAATTAGCCAGGCATGCTGGTGTGCCTAGGAGTTTGAGGTTGCAGTGAGCTATGATGATGCCACTGCACTACAGCCTGGGTAACAGAAAAAGACCCTGTCTCAAAAAAAAAAAAATCCCATTAAAGGATTCATACAGAGAAGACTTTTTAGGACACAAAATGCAGAAACCATAAAATAATTCCACACAACAAAAATATCATTAAAAGTCAAAATAGGTATGACAAACTGACTTGACAATCTTTCTCAAAATATCCACTTTTTGAAAATTAATAGACTTTATGTTTTAGAAAAGTTTTAGTTTACAGAAAAATTGAGCATAAAGTGCAGAAAGTTCCCACACACTTCCTCCCTGCCATGTTTCCCCTGTTGTTAATATCTTGCAATGATGTGGTACATTTGTTACAACTGATGGACAAATATTGAAATATTATTATTAACTAAAGTCCACAGTTTACGTTAGGGTTCACTCTTTGTGTTCTGCAGTTCTATGGGTTTTGCCAAATCCATGATGTCATGAATCCACCATTACTGTATCACACAGAATACCTTCACTGTCTTAAAAATCCCCTTTGCACCACCTATGCATTCCTCCTCCCCTCCCCTTTCCTCCTGGCAACCACTCATCTTTTTACTGTCTTTACAGTTTTGTCTTTTCCATAATGACATATAGCTGGAATCATACAGTGTGTAGCCTCTTCACATTGGCTTCTCTCACTTACAATGTATGCATTTAAGGTTCCTCCATGTCTTTTCATGGTTTGAGATCTCATTTCTTTTTATTCATGAATAGTATTCCATTGTATTGATGTACCATGGCTTGTTTATCTACTCACCTACTGAAGAACACTTAGTTGCTTCCAAGTTTTGGCAATTACAAATAAGGCTGCTATAAACATTCGTGTGCAAGTTTTTGTGTGGATGTAAGTTTTCAACTCATTTGGATAAATACCTAGGAAGTGCAATTGCTGGATAGTATGGTAAAACTATGTTTAGCTTTGTAAAATACTGCCAAACTGTCTTCCAAAGAGCCTGTACCATTTTGCATTCCTAACAGCAATGAATGAGAGTTGCTCCACATCCTTGCCAGAATTTGGTGTTGTTAGTGTTTTGGATTTTAGCCATTCTAATAGGTGTGTGGTGGCATCTTGTTTTAATTTGCATTTCCCTAATGACATGATGTTGAGCATCTTTTCATATGCTTATTTGCCATCTGTATATCCTCTTTGGCGAGGTGTCTGTTCAGATCTTTCATGCATTTTTAAACTGGGTTGTTTGTTTTCTTGTTGAATTTTAAGAGTTCTTTGTATATTTTGGATACAAGTCCTTTATCATATATGTGTTTTGCAAATATTTTTTTCTTAGTCTGTGGCTTATCTTTTCATACTTTTTATGACCATACCCTTTTACTTGGCAATTCCATTTCAGAAACTTACCCTCCAGATATAGTTGTGCACTATTATAAACTATAATATATAACTATATAAAAAATAGTTCAAGGAAATTTGCCATATCATTGTTTGTGGTAGCAAAGGTAGAGGAAATAAAAAACCCTAAATTTCCGTCAATGAATAGCTGGTTAAATTATGATACAGGCACCAATGAAAAACTATTCGGCTGTTAGAAAGAAAGAGGTGTTTCTACATTTTCTGAATTTTTAATAAAAGAGACCATCTACATAGTATGACAGGATTTTGAGTTATTTTAATATGGGGATATAAACAAAACTAGTTATTTGTTTGTCCTGTACAAAAGTTTTACTATGTGCATGTGGTATTATTCAAAAATAATTTTTAAAGAAGAAAAAGTAATAAAGATCAAGTTTTTAATGACATGAAGTGACAACATTTGGATTCTAATGTCATTTTATTTTCTTTAGATAGCTCATAAAACTAGCTAATTTAAAAGGCATTTACCCCAGAAAAATAGCACTAGTTTGAAGTATAAGCTTTGTAGATCTGTTTCTGGAAATAACTATCTGCCATTGTGCCGCTATAATTTAAGACTTATGGGAAAAGTTAATTATCTTGTATTTATCATTTCACTCCCAAATACATTATGTTTATTCACTCAAAGTAATGTGCTCAGATGTTTATACAAACCATCTGTCTATATTCAAGATGAGTAAGAAAAAAAAAGAAGCTTCCAAGACTTCTTTTTCTTGCCGGTGAGCAATTCTATAATAAGATAGAAAATGAATTATCATAGATTATAATCTTTAAAATATAATCACCCCCCAAAATTAAAAGATATTTTAAAAAACTTAATTCTATACAGAGAAGCAAGAGGGATCTTTTTAGGTAGGACTAGTAACACAGAATCCACATTAATAAGATATCTTGTGGTTTTAAGGAATGGTGGCATTTTTATATTTGTTTGGAATTCAAAACGGTCAATTTCAAAATTTGGCAAGGTAAAACTTTATGAGCTCTGTGAACATGTAGAGAATTAGTTCACATATTTAAAATATGTTGAAAATTCTAAACATTTATTATCATTGTCTAGACGAAGTAGCCCATTTTTGGCTCATTGCTGTAAAATATGGTTACTTGCATGTAATCAACATTGGTTACTTTAAGAGCATGCCTAGATTAAGAACCTCAGAAGAGTGCAGAGGGTCACAAGAATACCAGCTGCTCAACAGCTTCCCCTACAGAGTTCTCTGTGGTTCATTTTACACTTCTGGTTAGTTTCCACACTGCCACTTTCTTTCATAGAGAGTAGAGGTTGACAGTACTTCCCTGTGACATCCACTTTCACACCCAAATTGGTCTTCATAGGTTCCCATTGTGTGCACTACAAAGCAATGTGCCTTGTTGGCAGCTCTAAATGGGAACTACAAGTCTTTCTTTTCTTCACTGTTCTTTTTCTGGCTCACAAGCAACCTCCCACCAAAAGCTGGATCTGTAGAAGAGACTACATCCAAGAGATAATACCATGAAAAAGTATGAAGAGAAGCCCAGGTGGCCACCTTGCAAATTTCCAATGTGGAAGCCTTCGACCTCTCTGCCCAAGAAACAGCTAAAGTCCTAGTGTAATGAGCTTTACAAACCCTGGGAGCCTCTTTACCTTAACTACATACGCCTCCCTAATACAATCCCTTAACCATCTAGCTAAGGAACTCTTAGAAGCCATTTGACCCCTCTTAAGACCCCCTAAGAGTACAAACAATCTTTCAGAAGATCTGAAATCTTTGATTCTTCTGAGACAAACCCTAAGTGTTCTTCTTACATCCAATTGAAGCAGCCATTGCTCTTTGTCATTGCTGGGGCTAAAGAAAAATGAGGGCCAAGAAACCTCCTGGTTTAGATAAATCTCAGATGCCACCTTTGGAAAAATTGAGGAACTGCCCAAAGAACAACTTTATTCTGAAGGAGCATTAGAAATGTCCCATAAATCAAACCCGAGACCACGACATAGATATCATCACCTAATATAGAAAGGCATCATAATAGTCAAACAATGTCCTATCATTTTCTAAAGTGACAAAAATGGAATACCATCAAATTATGACCAAACAAAAATAAATAAATATAATGAGTAAACATCTTTTCTTTCTCAGAAAATATTTCTTGTGTCTCTACAAAATCTCTTATCCACATTCAAATTACTAAGAGAACTGCCAATTTGTCTAAGTCTACAATATTAAACATCAAAGTAAAAAGTAAAATATTTGGTTAATCATCTTTATATTTTCTCTATGTGATGTTAAGCACTTGGATATTTTAAAAACATCTGCACAATGAAAAAAAAAAACCCTCACTTTTCATCAGATTGTTTGGGTTACATAGACATAGTAGGCAACTGTTTCCAAGACCTTTATTAGCAAAATATGTTCCAATCAAAATAAATACACAGGAAACCAAATGATTTGCTCCTTTCTTTTTTTTTTTCCATTCTCTCCTGCACAGGATTCTAAGCAAAACATTAACTATCAGGAACACCCAATTGTTAACTTATGATACATTTGGTTTCTTTAATCATCTTTCAAGAAATCTTTTCCTTCCTGATTTAAGAAACCAATGCTTTTGATAAGAATTGATTAACTTGGATACACTGAATAAAACATTTAAGATTTTTCTTGACAATCTCCCTCAAGATCATTCTTCTCAGGGAGTCATTTACATAAAGTTGTGTCAGATTAAATCAATCTTGGCTTTGTTACCAAAAAATATGAATTTCAACAATGAAGAGTACATAAATCACAAGGGGATGTTCTAGTAGTCGTGCATTTCTTATACTTGCCCTTCCAAATTCCTTCTACAGCCTGAGTTTAATTACCCACAAAGGTGTTTATATAGTACACCATTATTAATGTGATACTGAAGTTATTTTGTCTGCCTTACTGCTTATATGATAACAATTTTGGGGTAAGACACTATATTGTTTCATAATTATATATTTGCTCTGTTGATTTTATTCAGGAATGGTAACCGTTGCCCTCAAATATAGAGTGAGTGCAAGTCTCCATATTGTTTGATCTCAATCTAATGGAGTTGAATCAGCTTTTTCAAAATTTTTTTCCTTTTTCCTGAAATCGGTATGTCAAATCTTTACTTCAGTTTTGGCCATTTCAGCTTTGTATCTTTACAATAGCTCTCTAACACAATTCTAGTTTTGAATTTAGGCTGTCCTTAAGAAGAATAAAGTTCTCAGAACTGACCTAATTTTCCAAGGGCCTGGCCTAGGACCAATAGAAGGTGATTCCAAATGACTAGGGGCCTAGATGTTTTGCAGTTCATTCTGTTTCTTGATCCATACCTTAGAAAAGATCCACTAGAGATGTGGATGAGAGATACCAAATGTTAGCCAGGCATGATGGGTGAGTACCAACACCAAATGTCAACTGCTTGAGACACGAACATGTCAATCAATAATTAGGATGTCATATTTCTCTACTCAGATCTCTCTTTGACCACCCAGTCAACTCCATCTAAAAGACCCTTCAGGGCTCACAGTATCTCTTAATTAAATTTACTTTTTTATTCTGGCTTTTAATTAATATTCATATTTTCTGTTGTATATTTTTATTATTTTCCCCTTGGGTTTTTTTTTGTCAGCTTCAGAAATCTATAATCCACTTCCATTTTTCTTCAAATTATCTCCAAATTTGGAAGAGTGATCTACACTATTTACTTTATAATTTAATAGTGCATTTAACCTGAAATGTAGAAGGCCACTAAACTATGCTTAACATAAAACACACTCCAACACTATAACTTTTTTGACATTATTTTCACAGGCAAAGTAAATAAAGAAATACCAGGGCAAACATATTGAGTGAAATAAATGTAATTATTACCAAGAAATCATGTTTGGGGGTTGAAATTTTCAAATTGTTAATCACTTGCTTCCCTCATTTGGTTTTGCAGATACAGCCACTGTATATATTTATATTTTCCTTAGAATGATATATGGTATCATGTAAAAGAGAACTTTGTGCATTTCATCCCGATAAAGATGAAAACCTTTATAAATATATGTATGACAACCGAGAACGTACCTTAATCATTGTGCCTTTAAATTCTACCATTAATGTTAGCAGTATTATGTCAATACATATGGCACAGCTTTCTTCAAAGGGATTTTGTTAAGACTAACTAAATTTAAAATAACATATTATATCATTATAATTACTATTTGAACTCATATTTATTGATAGTTTGTGATAAGCTACATGTTCTTTTAAGTACTGTATATACACTAAATCATTTAACTCTCACAATCCTATATAACATGTTAGACTGTGAAGTGTCTAATTCTGAAGGAAAACACAGAGAAAATTATTCTAGTCCCACATTATTACTTTGAGTATGAGAACATTCAGGTCTGGGGAGACTAGATGTTTTGCTCAAGATGGTCTGGCTGCTAGTGGCAGAAGAGGGCTACTTGATCATCCAGTCTGCTTATTTTGGCCATAGGACAGTCTGTGTTTACTTGAAAAAAGAAAATTGATCTGATTGTAGCTAAAGACAATTATCCCAAATCAACATACAATGCTTTGCCAATTAAAATTAAGGAATTGGCCAAGTACAAAGGATAAAAATGTTATCTATGGTGTGCATTATACTGAATGCTTATTTGAAGAATTCTATCATGTATTTTTTTTCAAGTAATGGATTCACAGAGGCAGGAAACAAAAACAGAGAGAAATTATAGTTTTATAAATTTAAACAAAAGAGCATATTACCTGAAGTATTTCTCAGTATCTTGAGTGATAAAAACATTTCTTCAAACAATTCTTGAACATTTTTTTCCACTTTCAAAAAGGATTGTATGAGCCGTGATAAGAATTCGAGTTCATCTAAGGTGAGGGCGAAGTTTCCTCCTTTCTGTGGGCTTTCAGGAGTAACTGTGAAAAGAGAAGTTCAATACTGCTGTACATTTTATTTGTTTTCTCAGTAAATATTAGAACGATCTATGTGATTCCATAAACCATCAAAACTAACAAGATTCTCCATAATTAAACCAAGTTTGTTCATTAAGAAACGTATATAATCTCCTAGGAGTATCTTTTCTTCTGGGAAGCTGGAGGTGAATATTCTGTTTGATGCAAATATGGAAATTAAATAACTATATTGATGCTGAGAGCAATAAACAGGAATATAATTTGTTGTTTTAAAATCACATCTTACACAATTCTATTTTTTTTTTTTTTTTAGTCTGGGATAACTTGAATCTAATAGGCAAGAAACATCAAACAAACCCAAATTGAGGAACATTCTATAAAACAGCTGGTCTGTACTTTTCAAAAGTGTCATGTCAGAAAACACAAAGACTAGGAAATGTTCTAGTCAAAAGGACTCTAAAAAGGCATTATGCATAACTGAAATCAATACATGATCAGTATTTTATTTTGCTATAAAGGACAGTATTGGGGTAAGTTGGTGAAATCTGAGTGAAGTCTACAATCCAATGCTATTAATGCATGACTGTTCATTTCCTGATTTAGATAACTGTATTATGATTATGAAAAAGAATGTCCTTCTTTTTAGGAAATACACATTAAAGTATATAAGGTTAAATGTCTGCAACCTGTTCTCAGTTCAGGAAAAAAAAACGTTTTGAGAAGAAAGGAGAGAGAGAAAGCAAAATTGGAAATGAGGTAAAATATTAACACTTGAGGAATGTGAATATGAAGGAAATTTAGGAATTCTTTGTACTATTCTGGCAACCTTTTTGTAAGTCTGAAATTAAAATAAAACTCTAAAAAAACAAAGACTGCATAAAAGATATACTCTTCAAGACCTTAAAAGTGTTCCTGTCATTAAAAAGAAGCAAATTAATTTAGCTGTTGGATCTTGACTACATAATTCATGAAATCATGTTTAAAAATAACTTCTGTTCTAAATAATTTTGATATAGCTACTCTTTGCAAAGAAACAATACCACCAATACGAAGGTTGATCTTTTTTGCTTTTGTAATTCTGCTACTAGTCAAGTCACACTGCCATTTTAATATGATAAAAAACCCCACCTTATACTTTTCAGAGTATGGAAAATAATTCACTTATTACATATTCCCAAACAACTTCAATTTGTTGCTTTCCTTTTAGATTGACATCACCAAATAGCACTTGTGGCTAAGTTTTCAAGGATTTAAAGTATCCTTCCTTTATTAATGCCATTTCTTAAAACATATATTTAAGAAGTATCCTGAAGCTTAAGTATAAATTGGAAAATTTGTAAACTCCTATAAAGTAAACATAAAGTGTCTTTGAAGAGAAAATACTGAGATTGTGATTCAGAAATTGTGTAGGGTCTGATGATTCCATGTGAAAAAGATAACTTCATCATATGGATTTAGAAGGAAGATTCCAGAAATGTAACAATTATATGCTTGATCCATTTCACTTCAGTCAAATTTTAAAATGTTAGCATCAACTTGTAGCCATATAATATCGTTCTTCACTGAGGACCAAAAATATCATGGTATCTTTGTAGGTAATATGAGAAAAAGCTGTCTACCAACTTAAACTGTAGAATTTAGCCCTGTTCTGGAAGAGTAAAAAAGGATTTAAAAAAATCTACAAGTGCCTACAAAAGTACTATTTCATCTCTAAATTTACATTAGCCTCATATACATTAAAACCTATCTCTAAATAGCCCTACTCACATCTACCACTCGTGTATAGGCATACCAGGGGACATAAGCATGTATAAGCAACATATATAACTAAGGTTTTTCTAGAAAAAACATGCCCCAAAAATAAAAAGAGAATATAATATATTATGTTTTATTTAGTTGTTGTTCGATTTCCATTTGGTTTGTTTGATTTCTTTTAAGCTTTGCTCATGTAGCTAAGAGGCTAGTTTAATTTTCTAAACCTTAAAGTTCCTTTTGGACCTAAAATATTTATTAACCAAATTTTCAGAGATTTTAAGAATCCTTTCTAATTATTAGGAAAGGCAACTCAATAGTTCGATTAGAAGTTAAGCATATTTAAGAGGCTTTATTTGGCTCAATTCTAAATTGGGAGTATTGTGAATGTTTATAAGGTAAGCAAAGAAGCACCCCAAGAAAAATCTTTAAAAATCAAAACACTATAACCTAAGAGTGCTATTTGTTTAAAAGTATGTAGGGTCTGAGGATTCTTCATGAAGAGGTCTTATGTTCATGACCTGGATTTAGAAGAATCTTGTATTTCAGAAATATAACAATATTAAAAGGTAAATCCATTTTAATTCAGTGAATCTTTATAATGGATGAAAAAGGACATAATAATATGTATGACCTAAATCTAATCATTTTTGTCCCAAAGAAGCAATGATCATGGTGGAGGCCCATTAATTAGTAGTCCTTATTTCCTATCACTATTAGCTCGGTGTTCTCCCAAGGGGTATTGTGAGGGTTCTTAATTTATGGGAAAATAATTCTGTGATAAATTCATTTTGTGAAAGGCCAATTAAAGCAAAATTAAACACAAAGGATGGAATAGCATTTCCCAAACTTATTTGACTTATTTTCCCTACAGTATCTCACAGGACTAGTGTCCTAATCATCACAACTTAGCTCATGATTTCTACCTGCACAGCATATCTATTTTTCTATCCTTAGACTCTTCACTGTTAACCAAATCAGAAAAGAGTTTCTCCCAGCAAAAATTCCCTGTATGTTTTCCTTCTCTAAATTAATCCTTTCCCTCTTTTTTCAGTATTAATTTTATTTGTTTCTCTTCTCCAAGTCCAAGTTTCTCTTCTCCAGAAAAGTTTATCTGGATACAATCAATCCAGGAGTTCCCTTTTCCCCTCTAAGGCAATCTGGCCTTGATTGATTGATTGACTGATTGATTGATTGATTGATTGAAATCACTATGGACCCGTCTTGCTTCAAAGAAATCTTGGACATAAATGTTTATATACAGGCAATTATGTTTGGCCTGCCACCAATCACTGCTGTGAAATACCTGAAATAATGACTGCTGCTTGGATATAGGATGAGCTCTGTGATTCCTAGGAAATATAAATTCATCCTAAATCCCAATATTACAAAGAAAAAAATTAAATTTCCATTTTAGAGCAAGACTTTATTTAATTTGCCATCAACTAATAATGCATAAGTTCATGTAAATAATAACTAGATAGTTGCAGGTTTTTTTCCTTCTGTATAATTTTAATAAGAATTTTTCTACAGTGCAATATAAAATTCTTTGCTTTCCTATTATTTAAAGTATTTACAACACAATTTAAATTTTTCTTCGTGACAGAGTCATGATGAAATTTAATTTCTATGCTGCACTCAGGGCCTAATGTTTGTCTCTCTGTTAAAGGGTATTTCTCAAACAGATAATCATTTGAAAAGGGCTCTATGATCAAATAAATTTGGGAAATATTACATACTAATTCTCCTTACAGTGATTCATAATGCAATTATCATATTAAAGTCTCTATTTACTTCTATAATATTCTTTGAAACATAATATTTCTCATACTTTTTTGACCAACAAATACCAGTTTACCAGCACATCTATTCTCAAAAACAACTGTTTTGGGGGGTACTGCTCTGGATTACTGTACAACTTGGGTATTTATACCTGCTTTGTAGGTTTTCCTTCCATTGTTAGACCTTTCACTGTGGGTTCTTGTTACTGGTTGTGTGGCTGATTTTACCAGTACCCTCTTCTATTGCAAAATGCTGCTTCTAATATCATCATAGTATTTTTGCAGACCCCTTTGAGAAACCAATGAAAGTCTTCCAAATCCTCCTAGATCATGTCATTGAAAAAATTTGATGTAGTCACAGTTTGAGGGCTAAACAGAATCACCTGAAGTCCATCTATGCTCTCATAGGGCAGTATGATCCAGGATCTTCTGTTATTATTATTAAAATGCAAATTCCTGGGTCATTTCTAGATTTAATGAATCAGCATCTCTGTGGGATGAGGCCCAAAAATATTCATTTTAAGCAAGTGACTCAAGTGAGTTTTCTGTACTAGCTTTGAGACCCCTGCCTGAGGGGTCCATGATCACTAGTTAAAAACTCTTGTGGTTAAAAATCACTCTCTGGGCAACGGAAAACCTGGAGTTTGGTTTTCGAAAGTCAACCAAAAAGATGGTATTGTGTAAAACATCAATGACTTTCAAAACAAAACAAAACTCCACTGTTTCCATGGTCAAGAAATTTATGACTTTTTTATTTCTGGAAGAAATATGGAACACCTGTAGGAAATTTCTCAGAGCATATCCTATGTATTTGCCGTGGGCAAAAGAAGAACTGCTGTTAGGAAAAAAAACCTGAACAATAGCTGAAGTTCTTTAGACACATTCCTCACAAATGTGTAATGATTTCCATGAGGCCAGAGACTATTTCCAGCTTATTCACCACAGTATCTCAGAACCCAGCATAATCTCTTACACAAAGTATGCATTCAAAAAAACTGATTAAAAAACAAAATGAATGAACGAACCTCCATGAGTCCTAGAAATAGCTACGTTTGGCCCAGAAAAATGAAAGATTTTATACCCAAACCAAAAATACATTCTTCAAAACAAAAATATTTATAGATGTAAGTTCACAAATAAATATTTACAGTATTCTATAAATTTTTTTACAGTTTTCTGTTTGACAAGATGGATTTGAAGATTACTTCTAATATAGAAAATGTGTGCAAAAGGATATAAAAAACAATAATGGGCTGGGAACTTGATAGAACATATTGATACAATTCATTTTAAAATGTGATTTTTTTGTATATGTTTAAAAAATAAAATTATACTTTCTTTCTTTCTTTCTTTCTTTCTTTCTTTCTTTCTTTCTTTCTTTCTTTCTTTCTTTTTTTGTAGAGGCAGTGTCTCACTGTGTTGCCCAGGCTAGTCTCAAACTCCTGGCCTCAAGTGATCCTCCTGCCTCAG